ATGACACAATAAACAAATATATCCAAATATTCATTTGAACGGGAAAATTTTAGGGTAAATATTTAAAATCTCTAGTCATACTAACTTACATATCTCGGGATAATTTAATTTGGCAAGGTATTTTTAAATCCTTCAACTATGATTTTGATTATATTATGTACAACAAGGTTGGGTTAAGATTTTTTCATCCTGCATTACTTTAAATTTTTTTATAGCATCATTTCACCTAATAAAATTTAATCACTTCAATTGAAACATTTATAATTTGGAATGATAATCCTCACCTGTGACATCATTAAGCGTTGGAAGACTTTGGCTGTTTCTACACACTTCCTTTATAGATACTAATATGATCTTAATCAAATTGTAAAAACCATCTCCAAGGAACCCTTAAAGGAAACCAAAAAGTATCAACAGGTTGACAGGAACTTAATCAAGTACCACTTAAATCAAAATGAAACACCCACTGGTTAATTTCTCATTTTGAAAGGTAAGAAAAACATTAAAACCACTAGAACAAGAAGTAACTTTGAGTATATATCATTATAGAGCCACTTATCGTTCCATTTTTTTTTCCTTTTTATTTTCCTTTTATTTAAATTTACTTTTAAAATGGGTTTATGGAATGTAAGAGTTCTTATGCATAGCAGGTATGTCATAACTGCATATAATAAATGAGAAACGTAGTTCATTTCTCATCCAAGGAAATATTGTTTGCAAAATAATTTATTCAAGGTACCTTGTATCCATACAGGATTTTGAAATTATCATTGCTATCAAGATTATCGGGACACCAATCACTTGCTCTTTGTGATATAAACGGCCAAAGAAAACCCTATGATATGATAGCTCCCAAAAAAACAAATCAATTGAGTATACGAGGACAAATTAGACCGCACCAAACATATGTTGGACTAAAATTAAAATAGAACATGCATTGATGCCAATTTTTAAGATTAAACACCTAAGTTCTTAAAAAAATTCCAGATATATATGCTGGGAAATAATAAAAGATCCAATGGTTTACGAATTCTTGAAATGAGTCAATCCAAAACTGGAAAAATTGTCAAATCCATATGAATCACCAACACCACTAAAGAACTATTTAAGACAACTTCAGCAAAAACTTATGCTTAAATATTTTTCAAGACAACTCTTCTAATAGATATATATCTAACACATTCAATACATTATTAAAAAAATGGAATGTTCTAAAAGGAAAAAATAAACCATTCAATACAGGTTTGGTTTATTCAATACACATACACAAATACTTAGTGTATATAACTTTCAAAATGTACAAAACTTCAGAGGTTCATATATAAAGCTTACGCCAACTCATTACTAGAAGAGTAAAAGAAGTATCCAAAATCTAACACCAAGAAATTCGAACCTAAGATATGTGTGCTTAATTATTGTACTAGACCACAATGTAAATTTTGCTAGTACAATTAGTATAAGACAATGAAAAATCTTCTATAGAACTCAAAAAGTGTATATGAAACATCCGTGTTTTGAAGGATTTTGACAAACAAGTTAACAAAATGAATGAATCGGGCTAATCATGTGTCACAACAAGGCATTGATCAGACATACAATCTAAACCGTAATCAAGGTCAAGAAGAAAACACAACAAAACAACTAATGAATCATTGCAATAGGATCTGTAAAGTAATGTTATTGAATCCTCATTCATGTGTTCAATAAGAAATCGAGAATGAAAAGGATTTTCATCTTAGTACACACATCACAATTGGAACTCATATTTTTTACCTCAACAAAAAAATATTGATAATAAAGAATGAACAAAGCACAAGATCACAAACTACATCATTATATCTTCGTAAAGTTAAACAAACCAACACCGTACTTTTCCTGTACATAATCTTCAAGAGATACATGAATTGGTGCAAGACACCAAATTTCACCTTTACATATTTCCATAAGTTGGCTGACTGATTTTTAACTATACATTAAATTAACTTTCAACACTAATCAAACAATACCAAGAAACTAAATATTGTCAATATCCCAAAAATAATGCATAAGCACCATTTCAATCCAATTTCTCATACACTCCGTAATAAAATTTTATACCATTTTACTACTACAATTCCATGCTTAATAGGGAAAAACAAAAAATCCTAGCACCAAATTATATACCCTAAGGCCCAAAACAATCAGAGCTCAAAAAATTAGCAAACTACTTCAAAGAGGCATTTTGTCGAACATCTAGTGTGTTTGATGGATGAGATAGCACGTCTGCATAACTTGGGCGAAAGTAATCCATGGTTCGGCCATTACTTAATGACCAAACACAAACCACCACCTTCTCACACCCAATCGATTCAGACATAATTGATACACACAAATATATTATAAGTTATTTCTATTATATTGTGCTAAATTAATATTAACTATGTGATGCTTGTATTATTATATCGTGTTGAATATAAACTATAGGCTATTTGTATATAAGTATAAAATTGTTTAAATATATTATAAGTTATTTCTACCATATAGTGTTACATGAACATTAACAATGTGATATTTGTATTTATATATCTTGCTAATTGAATATAAACTATATATTTATATCTATATGAATAAGCTGTCGGATTATTTTAAGTTATTTTACAAAACAATGTTGAATGAATGGTAACTATGTTATGTTTGTATTTATATGTTTTGCTAAATATATATTAATAATGTGCCATTTGTATGTATATTTAAATAATATTAATAATGTTTTGAATATAGTACTAGTAGTATACAATATAATTGAATTGATATTCTTTTATTAATTTTAAAATTTGAATAAAAACAATTAAGAAAAATTATAAAAATGAAAAAGAAAGAAAAAAAAAAAGAAAGGAGGAAATATAGAAAATCTAAATTCTAAAAGAAAATTTGTTAATTTTATTAAAAAAAAATAGAAAATAGTACATTGAAAGTCACAAATTCATTCACGGCTAAGACTTGTTCAAACAGTTTGAACTGTCGGTTACGGTTTTAAATCCACCGGTTTTAGTTTATTAAAAGGTCAAATTGAAACCGAACCCTCCAATCATGGTTCCGGTTTCGGTTTAACGGTTTCAGTTAAAAACTGTTAGTTTCGGTTTAAACTGTTGATTTACATTTATTTATTTTAAATAATTTTCTTTTATACTTTTTTTGTCCATTAACAAAGTATACACATTTATATTTTAGGATGTCTAATTACAAAGTATTCGCTCGGTATGTCATGTTTAGCCCATTTAGGCTCAACACGAGAATTACAAAAATAAATATTTTACTAAAAAAATAAAAATAAATAAAAACTATGAGTTTGTTTCTTTTGCCTTCAAATAACATATTTTTAGTCTTTAGATTATGCGTTTTTAAAAAAAAAAAAAAAAAAAATTTCACAAAGCATATTATTATATATTATTTTAATATCAAATTCAAACTAAAATTTTTTCAAATCCAAAAAACATAGCCACGTTATAAGTATTTTTTAAATTTTAATTAGTAATTAAAAAGAATAAAAAAAAGGAAAGTAATAAAGTTATTGACATATTTGTACATATAATAATTAAATATTAATTTTTTTACTTTTTTAAATATATTAATAGAATAAATTTAACAAAATGACAAAAAAAAGAATAAATTTGAATGGACGAAAATAGTAACTATTTCTTTTTTTAATAATTATGAATTTTATTTTTTTTTACAAATATTCCTAATTTATAATTATTATTAATTTTTTTAAAATGTAAAAACAAAATTATCCTTATATTTTTTTTATCTATTCACTACAATTAAAATAATATTATTTTTAAAATTTACACCCAAAACAAATATATATTACTCCTTTCGTCCCGGTAAAAAATTGACGTTTATTTTTTGCACATAGATTTTTAAATATTAGTATTATATTTGATTGTAGTAAAAAAGATAAAATACCCCTATTAGTATAGTGTAATTAATATAAAAGTAATGACATTTGTGTAATATATTGTAAGTTGGAAGGATATTTATGTAAGTAGTACAATTACGAAATTAGAAAATGATAATCTTATTTTGGAACGGACGAAAATGAAAAATGACAACCTTTCAATGAGACAGAGAAAGTATTAAAATAGACGAATGAAGTATTTTTTAAATTTTTCTAAATTTTAATTTTATTGAAAAATTGTTTATGTTAATTTTATTTAAATTTAAATTTATTATTTATTTATTGTGTAAAATTTATATAAATAATAATAATTAATTAGATTGTTACTATATATATTTAATAATTAAAATAATAAATCTATATAAATAGTTAAATTAAATTTATATTAAAAATAAGTTATAAAAAATAATAGATAATAATATAATATAAATATAATATTGTAATTATATAATAAAAATTCTAAAATTTAAAAAATAAATAACTAATAAACATTTATTTTTATTAATATTAATGTTATTTCAATTTTTATAAAAAAAATAATAGTAATACATATATTAGTAAATTGTTTTTGCCCTATAATTCATACATCCACGGCCATGTTGTTCTTCCTCTTTTATTCTTTTTTTTTTAATTTTTTTTTCTTTTTTCTTCCTTTTTAATTTTTTTTTTTTTTTTTTTTTTTTTTTTTTCCTTCTTTCCCTACCATCTCGACTCCCACCCTGCTGCTCCATTGCCGTCTTTATATTACCTTCGTTCAATACTAAATTTTTTATTTATATTTGACGAGTAGAATATATTTTTTTCGTCAATAAAAAATTTAGTCTTGGACTATAGGAATATATTTTTCTGAAGAAAATACAAAAATACAAAATCGGCCGTTTTGAACCGAAAGTTTACGGTTATAAGAAAAACCAGTTTCGAATTTTGGTTCGATGGTTTCGAGTTGAACCAGAACCGCCGGTCTGAAACCGGTGAACCGGAGGTTCCAACCGCCGGTTCGAAACCGATTGAGCAAGTCTTTTTCACAGCACACATTGCGTGCACTCCACCTTTTCCACGACCCAAATTTCCTGGAACAACACAAACCCCAGCCCACGCCGCGACAAACCTAGCGCCATTACTCCGCGCGGCGTGCGTCTCCAATCAATTGAAGAAATCCAACCCCCTCAAGCAACGTAACTTAGCTACTACTGACACTGGTTAACCTTTGTTTTGTTTTGGAGCCTTCCTTTATTTCTCTATCCTGTGGTGGAGTGTTGCAAGGATTCAGGAAGATTTAGTGCCAGCCAATATCCAATTTCGTGTTTCCACTTCATGCTACTGCTGAATTGACTGCTTCTCTCTGTACGTTGGAAGCTTGAGAGATTGGCTTCGCGGTTCGGTTCTCCACTGAGGTATGTAATGTAAATCTTTAGGAATTTTGATTCGATATATGATGGCATGCTTTGTTGTTCTTGTTGTGATGATATTTAATTGTTTTTTTTTTTTTTTTTTTTTTTTTATCCTAACGCGTTTGTTGATCGATCTGTAACTCTATGGATTCAATAAGTTGGGTTAGATGTCGAATTCAACCCCTGAACCGATAAAGACGTTTAATTAGCGACTGGAAGTGTTAATTGCATGACGGCTGAGATGAGTTATTGGAAGGATGATTTTTTCACTATCCCAATTGTTGTTAGGGGATAAATTGCTGAGATTATAAGGATTTTGGTGCAGTTAGGAGAAAATATTAGACAAGAGTTCAGCATCTTAATTTACAACCTTATGAGAGATTTAAGTGGCGTAAGTAAGAATCTCGTTCCGTATTGAAATTTAGTTATGGCTTCGCCTTCTATAATTTCCTTGAAACACACAAGGAATTTGGTTAATCGAAAATATTTCAATCACTAATATCATTTGCTATGTTGTACAGCTGGATTTCTTGTAGAAGGTGCCTTAGTGTAACTGTGTAAGTAGAACTCAAGTATGGAGTTAGCTCAAGTTGTTTGTAAATTTCGAGACAATGAAGAAGCGAATCTTGATGTTGAGATTGGATATCACGAGCTCGATTATTTTCACACTCTACATATAGCTTTGTAAATGTGCAGTCAGTAATAAGAACTTATGGTTTTGTTACTTGTTTCAGCAGAGGATGGAAATTATTCACTGTCATGGTGCACACCGCAGTTATGTTATAAATTTTCGAGGCGTAAACAGCTCTAAACAATGTCGATCAAAGCTTCCTATTGAAAGGGAAAGAATTTTTTGTCCTGTAATAATTGGTTTGACGTCCTCACAAAATTTTTATCTGAATCGTGGAAAATTAAAGAGACTTGGCCTCAGCAAACCTTCTTCGGTGGTTTGCACTATTGAGAGATACGAACACGTTAATTCAGGTGTCTTGGATGAAACGTATGAATCCTATGTACTTGATAGGGAACAGGGCGTGCGTGGTGTGCCCAGTAGTGGTACCATACCGAGGGTTTCGATTCCTAGTTTGCCAGATGAAAACAATGGCAATAACGCAGCTCAGATAACAAGTTGGTTCTGGGAATGGCGTCCGAAACTGAAGGTTCATTATGAGATATCAGGATCAGATAACGTGGATTCCCCGCCGATTCTCTTGCTTCCGGGCTTTGGTGTAGGCTCGTTTCATTACAAGAAACAGCTGAAAGATCTTGGTCGTGATCATAGAGTGTGGGCACTCGATTTTCTTGGTCAAGGGTTGTCCTTGCCTTATGAAGATCCTACATTACAGTCTAAAGATGGACAGAATGGTACTTGGGGTTTCGGAGACGAAAGTGAAACATGGGCAGAAGAGCTTGTTTATTCTGCTGACTTGTGGAAGGATCAAATTCACTACTTTGTGGAAGAGGTACAGCGTAACTTCTTGTTGTATACTATACTTACGTGTGTATATATAGATTTTAACTGATTGCTAAGCACAATGATTTTTATACGTATTTGATGGAATGATAACATTCTCTAGGTGATAAAGGAACCTGTTTACCTTGTGGGAAATTCTCTCGGAGGGTTCATGGCACTGTATTGTGCTGCTTGCTATCCTCACTTGGTGAAAGGCATTACTTTGCTTAACGCAACTCCCTTTTGGGCGTTCCTCCCTAATCCTATACGATCTCCAAGATTGTCGAGACTCTTTCCTTGGGCTGGGACTTTTCCTCTCCCTTCCGGAGTTAGAAAGCTTATAGGAGTTCTGTAAGAACTATTCGTTGAAATTACTTTCAATATGCATATATATATATATACTTAATAAACACTCAAATGCGACTAAGATCGGCCATGGTTTTTTTCTTTTTTTTCTTCTGACATTCTAGATGGCAGAAGATTAGTGACCCAAGAAGTATTGCAGATATACTCAAACAAGTGTATGCGGATCACTCAACGAATGTAGATGATGTGTTTTCTCGTATAGTCGAGACTACACAACACCCTGCCGCTGCTGCATCTTTTGCTTCGATCATGTTTGCCCCCCGGGGAGAGTTGTCCTTAAAGGAAGCTTTATGCAAGTAGGTTCAATGAAACCTGTTTTGTTTTGCTTTGTTTTGTCTATATATTTATAAATTTCCCTTGACAAAGCTTGGAATTGCAGGTGTCAAATGAACAACATACCCATTTGTCTCATGTACGGGAAGGAAGATCCTTGGGTGCTGCCCATCTTCGGTTTGCAGGTGAAACGTCAAGCCCGGGATGCTCCTTATTACGAGATCAGCCCTGCGGGTCACTGCCCCCACGACGAAGTTCCTGAGGTAAAAACCATCTTTTTCATGTCTTAAAAATAAAAGATCACGAGATCTTCTAGAAAGTCTTGTGTTCCTTGCTACTAATGTTGTTGTGTTTTTAAAAATCCCAGGTGGTGAACTTTCTTGTGCGTGGTTGGATTAAAAACGTGGAGACTGGCGGCTCTGCTGCGCTGCCCCTGCTCGACGGCGAGCCTGCAAATACGCTCGTCACAAAGGATTTAGAATTTTCGAGAAGGGGAAGAAGAAAATCAGTGAGGGTGCAGTTCCACGGATCAGAATTCTCTGCGTGGGATTTGGTTCGGCTCTCGCTCAAACCTCTGATCAACAGAATGGCTGCTGGATGATCTGATCAACACCAGGTAACATACACTGCTGCAGTTAATTATATATGATGCCATTGCTGTAGAAAGACACTAGTGCGAAAACACACCCACACACACATGTTGTATACATATAAATTGGACTCCTATAGGCGGCGCTACAATGCTGAACTTTAAATTTAGCATATTACTTCAAACAACACACTGTATATATTAATATAATACAAATACTGTACCTGAACAAAACACATATGTGATAGTCTCAACATCAAACAATATTATTACAGACAACACACAGTATTACTCACATTGTATATGTTAATATGATACAAATACAACACATAAACTAACAATACATGCTATAGTCTCATACAACACACACAACAGTTGATTTTAGCAAATGACGTACTTGTATACAACACACTTGTTATTATATATTAAAAAACAGCACATATATTTATTATACATAGCATGTGTTGTGTCTAATAGTGATGTGTGCTGCTTGCATATACGACGTGTGTTGATGTGAAAAATGAGCATGGTGCACCGTAATCATCCCTGTAAATATAATATGACCATTTGTTTATTTATAATTCGACTATGCATGCAGATCCTCCGATTGTTGGTTGTTGTGGTGTGTTAGTGATACGATTGTGTATCAAGTGACCGTAAGTTATGGATTTTCCACAACGCAAATTGTAAAGAACTCTTTTCGATATATAATAGTGTATCAAGTGACCGTAAGTTATGGATTTTCCACAACGCAAATTGTAAAGAACTCTTTTCGATATATAATAATGGAGGCTAGAGGTTGTCTGCGGGAAAGACTCTGTCCCTCGTTTCCCATCTATGCCGTCGGAATTTCACTGTGTGTTTGTTTGGGGGTTTGGATTTTGAGTTGGGATTTGAATAGGAAAAATTTTGAATTTGTATAGTTGTATGATGTGATATAAATAGGTGTTGATGTGATGTTTTGAATATAAAATTGATTTTTAGTATAATATAAAAAATAAAAAATAGGTGTTTGATTTGATGTTTTGTCGGGATTTAAAATCCAATTCCCCGGACAAACACACCCCTTTATTGTTTGTAGACTAATATGTTTGTGTTAGTTTGTTCCTTAGTAATAAAATATCATGTAAATTTCTCCATATCACTAGCGATCACATATTCAATATTGCATTTAGGTTGTTAAGTTTGCCGGTTATGTTTATTAAAGAGCACATATAAGTTGTTAACTCATTTTTTCATGCACTAAAAATAATGTTTAAATAGTTCGCAGCGAGAATACAATAATCTAGAGGTGAGCAAAATATTCGAAAATTCGATCCGAATCAAATTGAAATTTAAAATTTGGTTTGGATTAAATTTTTGACAAATTTCGAATTTTCAAATCGGATCGGTATACTTAAATTCGAATCAATCCGAAATCTGAAATATAATATTTTAATATATTTTTTTATTATATAAATTTAATATTTTATTAGAAAATATTATATTTTAATATAAAAAACTCAAAATTATTAATTATATTTTAATATATCTAATTTTTATATATTATATATATTTAATATTATAAAATAATAATAAAATATAAAAGAAATTTAAAATTTTTAAAAAATAATAAAAAATATTTAGAATTTTGGATTTTTTAGTTCGGATTTCGATTATTTCGGTTCAGTTCGGATTGATTTTTTCAAAAATTTCGGATTTTCGAATCGGTGAACCGAAAATTCGAATGCTTACCCCTATCATAATGATGATGGAAAACTCATGAAACTCATAAGACATAATTCAATTTAGAATAAAAAGACACAACAAAGGGATACGCAGCAAGTTAAGTGACTATGTACAAATATATATTTTTATGACGTGAAAATTCGCAGCCGCTATCCGAAAGTACGCACTGGATAAACTCCCGGCCGAGCCTAAGTACGGTGATAGAGGTTCCGTGAGTTAATAATGTCTTATTTATAGATTCATTGATTCATATGCTATTTAGGTACCAATAGACATAACAATGCTCACTTAAATAACTACTACTCCCTCCGTCCATTTACAAGGGTTACATTTACTTTTGGCACGATGTTTAAGAAATAATAGTATTTTAATTATAGTGAGTAGTTAAAAGTAGTGTAATGATATTTTTGTCCTTACTTTTTTGTGTAAAAGTAATGATGTGATGTAAAGTAAGAGTATTTGTGGAAAAAGTAGAGTAATTAATGAAATATAAACTTTGTAATTGGACGTTCCAAAATAAAAATATGTAAACTTTGTAAGCGGACGGAGGGAATATAATTGTATTCATTTCCTTTCTCACATATATAAATATAATAATAATAAAATTTAATTATATAAAATAAAATATTTAAGTTTAATGTAATTCTTGTCTTCCGACTGTTGGAAGCTTTTATTACTTCTATCTCAAAGTACTTTAACCAACATCTAATCATCATTTTCTCTATAATACTCTTCAAGTTTATCGAAGCTATTGTTACTTCTATCATATTGGACCTTAAACCTCTAATCATCATTTTTCTCGTAATATTACATAAAAAAAAAAATTACTTCATCCGTCCTAATACAATAATTTTGTTTATCATTTTTGTCCGTCCCAAAATAATAGTCTTATTTCCATTAATAATCATATCACTATAAAACTATTCCTACTTTTTTTTATTTTTATTACACAATTGTCATTACTTTTTACGCTAATACACTCGTATGGTAAAAAAAAATTTTATCCATGCTTTTTATCAACTATCCATATAATATCAATATTCTTTAAATCTTATGTCCAATCTAATTGAGACTATAGTTATAGGACGGAGGAAATATAATATTTCACATCGGTATCACTCATGTACATAAGCTCTGCATAACTACTTTCACTAATATAGATTTCTTCGCTTCATAAACCATGATCACTTTACTTTTTCTCTTCTTTTTTTTTTTTTTTTTTTTTTTTTTTTTTTTTAAGTACTATACAGTAACTTTGCTCCACCTCGTTAAATCCAAGCCGGACCAATAAAGGTCCTGCGGGGCAACTGTCCTCCCAAACTTCGTTTTTTTTTTTTAAAGTAAAAATAAGATTTTTTTTTTTTAATTTAATTATGTAGTGTTGCCCTTCCTAATTCAAAATTTTTACTCTATTTTATCTTTAAATACATTATTTTAATTTATAATATAGGAGTATAATAATTTTTATTATAAATAATTTTATATAAAAAATATAATTTTTTATTCTAAATGTTACTACAATTTTATCATATATTCTTTTTTCTATTTTTGTCTTCTTTCAATTTATTTATTTCCTTATAATTTTAGTATAGTGTAAAAAAAAAAAAAAATTGCGTCGAATTAATGGTAGTGAAATAAACATGTTACGTATGAAAATTATGATTAGGTCAAAAAGTCCAAGTTACAAGGAGAATGTGGGCCAATGATTGGGTTGGTTGGATTGATCGAGGGGTAGTGTGAGAAAATTGGGTGAAATACATATGTTTCTAAGCTCTGTAGGACGGAAGGGTTCGTGGGTCGGAAAGTCCGCAGGTCGGAAGGTCCGCAGGTCGGAAGGTCCACAGGTCGGAAAGTCCGCAAGACGGAAGGTCTGCAGAACGGAAGGGTTCATAGGTCGGAAAGTCCGCAAGACGGAAGGTCCGCAGGTCGGAAGGTCCGCAGGTCGGAAAGTCCGCAAGATGGAAGGTCCGTAGGACGGAAGGGTTTGTAGGTCGGAAGGTCCGCAGGTCGGAAAGTCCGCAAAACGGAAGGTCCGCAGGTCGGAAGGTTCACAGGTCGGAAAGTCAGCAAGACGGAAGGTCCGCAGGACGGAAGGGTTTGTAGATCGGAAGGTCCGCAGGTCGGAAAGTCTGCAAAACGGAAGGTCCGCAGGTCGGAAGGTCCACAGGTCGGAAAGTCCGCAAGACGGAAGGTCCGCAGGACGGAAGGGTTTGTAGGTCGAAAGGTCCACAGGTCGGAAAGTCCGCAAAACGGAAGGTCCGCAGGTCGGAAGGTCCACAAGTCGGATGGTCCGCAGGTCGGAAGGTCCGCAGGTCGGGTGGTCCGCAGGTCGGATGATCCGCAAGTCGGAAGGTTCGCAGGTCGGGTGGTCCGCAGGTCGGAAAGTCTGCGAGTCGGTTGGTCTATAAATCGGGAGGTTTGCGGCTGGACCAAACAAGTCGGATGGTCTGTCAGTCGGGAGGTATGCGGTTGGACCAACAAGTCGGATGGTCTGTAAGTCGGGAGGTATGCGGCTGGACAAAACAAGTCGGGTGGTCTGCAAGTCGGAAGGTTTGCAGTCGGACCAACAAGACGGAATATTTGCGGTCAGGCCAAAAGTCTGCGGTCGGTCCAGAGAGTCGGATACTGTTGCGAGTGAGCGAGAATGGTATTTTGGTCGGTTGAGGGCACGTGTCAGCATGAGAAGGGTTAGCAGACGGTTGAAAAAGAGGCATTGTAACCGTTCGGGCGACGGTTTCCAGTACCGTTTCTGAAGAGTATTTAAGGATAAAAATTTGCAACTGGCAAATCATCTTCAATCAAATTCAACAAAAGCAAAGTCAGATTTGGGGATCACCACTTTAAATTTCCAGCATTTTATTTTTCAGTTAATTTTCTTATGTACCGTACAGCTAATTAATCAAATTTAAGGATATTTCCATATCTTTGAATTTTACTTTTTGTTTGTTGAAAAAATACATCAACAAATTGGCGACCACAGTGGGAGAATGGCAAGATTGTTGATCCTACATTACCAGAGAATTTCATACGACTGAGATCTGGCCGAATCATCAGAAAGATCAATATGGCAGGCACACAACCTCAATTATCATCAGCACCGGTGGGAGAAAATATTTCACCATCCGTCATGCCGAATTCAGGGGAGATTCCCCAACCACCTACCGATTGGTTGTCTTATGTTCAACAATTGAACAATCAGCAAACTTTGGCTATGCAGAACATGTTGCGCGAGCAACAGAACATCATGTTGCGTGAGCAAAAAAATCTTATGCAGAACATGTTAGATCAAGCGTTATCAAGGGTTACTCTTCAACCCACCCAGACGCCGCCAGGGGTGTCACCATCAAGAATGCAAGCAAATTTTGCAGGGCCATCATATGTGGACAGCACACTTCCAAGCGCCACAACGTTCAACCGAGCAGATAGGGGAAAGACTCCGCTGACTTTCCCAAATAATATTCCTTTGGGGCCAAGGGTTGAGAATATGCAACCAAACATTACAAGGGAGGAAAGGTCAGGGGGACATGTGCAAGATCATATTCTTATTCCTGTG